AAAATATACAAATAAATAAAGATCCAACCATATTAAATAAAAAATAGTCTCCTATCTTTCTCTCTATGTTTTGATCTCCTAAAACGAGTTTGAGTTGGTAAAATCAAGGCAAACTTAGGGTAGGGTTGTCAATTATTATTTTGATAATAAAACTAGTGAAATTCCGCGGTTTTATATGCGCAAGCGTGAACGTAGTTAGAACATAATATAACCTTTATGTTTTACATAAATATCCTAAAAAACTTATTATTTTAATATTTTACTAAGTACCTATAAAATTAACAAGTTTATTGCATTTTTATTTGAGTAATTTTTTATGCAATTTCTTTATCTACGTCTATTTTTAGGAACCTTTATTTAGTCTGAATCATACATAACACTATATTACTGATTTACTTACTTATACGTAGTTTTCTTTTTTTGCAGTTACAAATATCTTGTGAGGTTGAAAAGGGCAGTAATGAAAAAATAATAAGAATAATAATAATTGACGTCAGCCACTTCTTTTCATAAAAATTTCAGATCATGGTCCATTAGGTTGCAGCTTCAGCGAACCACAACTTATAATAATAATAATAACAGTAATAATATAATATTATTTTGTATTTATTTTATTTTATTGATATTTATGTATATTTATCTTTTCATTTTAATTTATAATTTTTATATATTTAAATATTTATATAACCGAACCAGATGAGAAAATTATACGGCTCCAACGATTTTAGCGACGAACGCTTGGATTTATTTTTAGAAAATGTCCTTTTGTCCATGTTTTCAGGCAATAAAAAAACTGCTACAATATAAGAAGGTAAATTTCGACAAATCACTAACGGTCGTTATAGCTCAGGTGGTATGTCGGTCGGGCGTGATATCGGAGTTCCGTGGTTCGCGTCTTGGCTTTGGTCCCGCTTTTTTTTCCTTTTTTTTTTCAAGTTCTCTTCTTTTGTGATAAAATCTATTATTTCAAACCCTTTTTTTTAGTAATTTTTAAAAATACGAAAATTTTAATTTTAAAAATTTAAAAAAAATATATCTATTTATTTACTAATGCTATATTTATTATTTTAATAATTACCTACCCAGTAGGTAAATATTAAAATAATAAATGTAGCATTATAAATAGTAAATCTCCCTCAAACTCAATTTACTAATATTGTTCCTAAATAAGGTATAGCAGATAAAAGATTAGTAGGTAATAACTATTGCTCCTCAAAATTATATTTGACCTCAAGGTAAAACATATCCTAAAATTCAGAAGCTAAATAAAATAATAATACATACTATTCAAGTATATTTTCAATATGTAAGTAAATGAAAATAACAAAAATGAAGCACCATTAGCATGTAAAGTTCGAATCCATAATTAATATTTCGACAAATATTATAATTTACACTATAAAAAGCTAATTCAATATTAGCAGTATAGTATATAGTTAAAAATAATCAAAATAGTCTTTTTTATTAATTAGATAATATATTAGAATACATAATTCTAATATAATGCAATTAATATATCGAATAAAGAAAATTAAAATACATTTATCATTGTACGCCGTGTCTATTTCCATAGAATAGTTCATTGACATCGAAAAAATAATACTACGTTCGTAGCAGTAGGTGGCGTCTTTTGGCGATTTCTTACGCGATATATTGTAGCGAGCTTCAAAAGACCAAACGCTCAAGGTCGTTCGCTGGAGGTAGCGCCTTAAATTGCGACAGACCTCGACAGTCTTTTTAAAACTTACGAAGGTCGTTTGTTACAGAACTAATTAAGTGTTAATGAAATAAGTCTAAACAATTATCATATCGTCACCGGATAGGTGTAGGAGTTGTTTGTCTTACAATACACAGACATCTAACTTGACTTCTTATGAAAATGCTGACGTGGCTGTTTGGAACATTGAGCCATATCGTTTCGTCGCTATATGTTCCCCGTTATGTCCCTATCGTTTGACTTTGTCAAGCTGCTGATCCCAACAGTAATGCAGCATAGGACATTATATTGTAGAAACCATCAACATAGACTAATTTAACTGTGTATTGCTTCATCAGTCGGCTATGTAATACGGCTTTCTCTGATGGTTCCTTGGCGCAGTGACTTAGCAATGAGTGGCAGCGCTGGGGGCCGCGGATTCGAATCCCGCACGGAACAAGTATTTGTATGGCCTACAAATAATTGTTCCGAAAGACTTGCCTCCACCACTTAGATTTTATAGGTTCGACAGTATTTCTCAGAATAATTTATATCGTCTCGGAATATTAGTAATATTTTTTAAATTAACGCATTCTGTTACAACTTATATAGTATAAACTGCAAACATTTTGTTTTTCTGCGTTCAGAAGCTAATTATTTGCGAAAATGCCTTTAGAAACAATATCCAGCATTTAATATTTTATTGGGCTGTTTCAGTTCGAAGTTGTTTCTTTTAACTTTAAATTACAATAAGATGTTACCAAACAGAACTGTTTCAGATTATTTTCTATCATAAAGAGAAGATTATTATATTATGTCATTATGTGGACAAGAATAAAAACGGTAATTTCTGATAATCATCGTTGATTGCAACTTTTTGCTCTCGATTTGAGATATACGACGATAAAAAGAAGTACTTACGACGTCATGACTGACATTGTATTTATATAAGTTTTAAGTTTATAAATTAATTTTATTGTCCATTCCGGTTTCGTAGATTCCGCATTTTTATAGAATAAGGGTGACAAACGTGCACACAGTCCACCTGATGGTAAGGGGATGCTGTGGCCCATAGACATCTACATTTATCCTCAATTACGAATCAAAACGCACCACCCCTTGAGGGCTAAAATGGAATGCCTAGTTTCCAGTGAAAAAGGGTCTCCGGATCACTACACTCACCATACGAAACACAGAAGTATATTATTAAATTTATTTCTATTTTACGCCTATGCACATGGTTAAATATTTTATTAAAGAAAAAATAATAGGTACTCAAAATATTAATACATCAAAAGAAACATATGACATAAAGAAAAATAGTAATATAACATTCTCTCTATCACGCCATCACGGAGGGTAGACAGAAACTACGAATTTCCATTTGGTACGATTCTGACGTCCATATATCTACACATATACGTTCTTCAGATACGCTACAGTGTAATGCCAATACATGTGACAACCCAAAAATTAAGTGTTCTTAAATTAGTTAAATACCAAACATGTGACAACCAAAAAATTAAGTGTTCTTAAATTAGTTAAATACCAAACATGTGACAACCAAAAAATTAAGTGTTCTTAAATTAGTTATGTGTCAACAATGTCTGTTCATTTCGAAAAAAAGAAACTTTTTATTTTACATTTTAATTTATAATATTTCTTTCTCCCGACAACAACCCCAAAATCCCAACATTTTCAAATTTTGTCCAGATATTTTGGTCTTCCGATCTGGCATTCCTAGTTTGGACAGTAGTAGCACGGGCTTAGAATTGTTCGAAAAAAATCCCATTTCGTTTCGTAGATGTGGCGACTATATAAAATTCAGACCGATGATTATCTGAACACGTCGTTTGCGGTAGACGTTACGTCGTAGGTGGTACTGAGATTGCAAATTCATCTGGCAAGCACTGAGATTAAGGAAAACCGTCCCTACAATAGAAAAGACACGTGGCAGGCTGAGGACTTACTGGCTGAAAAAATGAAGAAGATATATTCTGTCGCACTACGAAAAAACACCTAACCTAATTTTCGTATAACCTTTGATAAAAAGAAAATGTTTGGAAACTGATAACGTGTAAAATTTATCCGTACAATGTCTTTCAGTTTATACGTTTACGACTGCCAGTTCTGTAAAAGGAGTAAAATATCTTAACATCATTTAAATTTAAAAAAGATAACTCGGGGTTTTCTCTAAAATCTTTCCAAATATGATGGTGAGCTAATACTATATTTAAGTATTAATATTATTACTTCAGACTTTGAACCGGAGCTGAACGTAAGGGTTCGCGTTAACGCTAATTTGGATTAATTTATATTCAGAGAGTGTAATGACAGGTATTCAAATCGGAAAATTCAATATGTTGTTAAAATAGGTAGGTAAATTTTATTTAGGGGAAAAGTCAAACAAACATATAACTTATCATCATCGTCATCATTATTAGTGTACATCACAAGTTCACTGCTAAATGAAGGCTCGCCTTAAAGACAGACATAAAGCACGATCCAGACCGACCTGAATCCAACGACTCTATTGCATTTTGCTTATCAAGTCGTCTTTCATCATGATGCCACTCGAGAACTTTTCTTCTCTTTTCGTTTTCGATTCTAAAACCGGCCCTAAAATGGACTCATTGTCAATTTAGATTATTCTCGCTAAGCGACTTTAAGATTTCTCATATAACCAATAGTGAAAAACCACGTCTCGGATCCACAACTCAAACGTGATTTGACGTAATTTAAAAAAAATTACAGTGGCCTAATGTTAAGATACGAATTGCAAAACTCAATATCGTGAGTTAAATTTAGGCCTTGGCATTTTAAGCTTAGTAGAAGTGTTTACAAGTAGTATTAGTAGTGCTAACAGTACTGCTAGTATTCTATTTAAGAACAATAAAAATCCTAATATGCAGCCTTGTGGGGATGGATTAATCTATTTACCATTCAGTCCAAATAATACTCATATATAGTTGTATTACTTGAGAGCCAAGTGTTTCTAGCATCTTCTACTTTATGTGTGGCAAGGATGTTAGAAAAATGTTCGTCATATCCATATAAGTCCAGCTTCAGATGAACTATTTAGATTATCGAGTATAGTGCTATCGAGATTGGATGCGTACAGTTCAACATAATATAGTTCTATACTCTGTTAAACATCTTAGAATTATTGTTGAAACACTTCAGCACTTACATACACCAGCAGTCAGTATGAGGAATATAAAATAAAATAACTTATATTAAACACTATGCCCAAAAATGTCTGCTCAAATATATCGTAAATCAACATTCCATTATTTCTGTCCAGTGATGGAGCCCACGAAGCAATGCTTGAGGAGAGTCGGAAGCCGAAAGTTAAAAGCAAACAAGCCCAAAGCCAAGAAGAATATGAAGCACTCCAGAGTTTTCTCCGTAGCATCAGTTCCACCGCAACACTCCCACCTTATGTCAAAGGCGAGACATACTCCTCTATGCGTGGGGTGTTTAACCAGGTAAGCGTTTATTTTGGATTCAAAGAAAAAAATTGTTTATTTGACGTATTGATGTCTTTAGTAGATAACCAATTTAAATTATATACTTATTTAAAGTAACCAACCAGTGCGTGTTACCAATGATGACTCGTAGATCTGAGACGTGGTCTTTCACAGCTGGCCGAAGGAAACTTAAAGTCGCGAGCTATAGAGAGGGCTATGCTCTGGGTTTCTCTGCGTGATAAACTAAAAAATGAGGATATCCGCAGTAGAACTAGAATAATCGACATAGCCCAAAGGATTGGTAAGCTGAAGTGACAATGGGCCGACCATATTTCTCGAAGAACCGACAACCGATGGGGAAAAAAGGTTCTCGAGTAGCAACCTCGTGCCGGTAGGCGAAGTGTGGGCTGGCCCCGCACTGGATGGAATGACGACCTGATAAGACATGTAGGAAATCGATGGATGTAGGTAGCTCAGTATTGTACTTTATGGCATTCCTTGGGGGAACCTATAATCAGTAGTGGACTTGTGTTTAATGATGAATGATGACAATGATGATGACCTATTTAGAGTGTAAAGTGATGTAATCTTTTTAAAATAAATATATAAGCTAACTAGTTTCAATTAAACGTCAGCTAAAACATATATTAGTCGCAGGTATATTGTCAAAGCCGTGATATTACAATTCCACTAGTAATATTATAATTGAACGGGTAGATTACCTATCGACTTCATTTCTTACAAATTAACGGGCCCGGTCGAAGAGCCCCTTTTAATTCTTATTTTTAATTCTTTAAGCAAACATCACACAGATGACATAATAAACCAGTGTTCGTATTTTGTAAACGCTGAATGCAGTCTGATTGTCTTTTGCACTTATTTATTATATTTATATACAGGAGATTAGCTTATAAATATCTCATATAAAATAGTCGAAAACTTTGATTGTTTATAAATTAAATTGATTGTAGTAAATCAAAAACACAAGTGTGCAGTTCACACGCGTTAGAAGTGAAGCCTTCAAATGAAATGAAATATAAAATGAAAATATTTCACTGCAAATGATTTCTTTAATATGATAATTTTCAACCATAAGTGCGGCATAACTTAAAAGATAAAAGTTTAATTTTCTAGAAAATATATGTTACAATCCGTATTTTAGACATGTAGAGCCTAAATTTTAGTGTATTGTATTAATAGAATATTTTATTTCTACTAAAATTGTTTTGTAATAGCGACGGCAACTTCATTCTATAGGCAAAATCATTTTATCGAACACAAAAATGATTTTTTTTCAAATTCAAATTCAAATTGTTTATTGCCTGTCACATTACAAATTTAAAATGGTACAATTTTTAAAAATAATTTATAAAATATCATATCATCACCATTCAATATTATTTTATATTAAATTATAGTAACATTTATTAATAAGAATTTTTTATTGTTTACAAAATTGCACAGGATTTTTCAGGATTTTTATGGAATTCGGTAAATGGTTATAAATCTTTATTGACGTGGGGGCTGTTCGAAACTAATTTTAATTGATTAACCCTTTCAAACGACAAATTTATTATAAATCGGTAAAATAAAATCGTAGATTGTTAATAACAGTCTGGATACGATAATTTTATTCAATATAAATAATTTTATTTATTTGATAATACATTTATAATTTTTCGTTTACGAAAATTATGAAAAGTTTTTCCTTATTTCGTCCAAGTAACTAAACTAATTCTATAAAGAGCAAAGTTTATCTTCATAAAATTTTCTTGATGATGAAGTAAATTTTGTTCGTAATGATTAATATAATGCTCATAAATCATATTTTAATCTCTAAAAATAATGCTCATAAATCATATTTTAATTTTTAAGTTTTTTTTGTCCCAAAATGCATTATTGTTAAAGTGCCCATTTATTTTTTTCCTCAGAGCGGGACGCCTTTATAATTATTATAGTTTTAACACGTGACTGCCTTCTAGGTCTAATGGTCGTAAACGCAATTGCTGATCATGTGGTCCCGGGGTCGAAACCCGAATCGGGCCGAGAACCATTTATTGGGTTTTTCTGTCACAAAATTCTCAGTAGCAGCCCGGAATATTGATTTCGAACCTATTGAAGTTAGCGGGGTTTCATCACCGTGCCTCCGGAAGCACGTAAAGCCGTTGGTACTGCGCCTGATCTCTCTCCCGTCATCTCGGATTATCGTTCCATCGGCCTATAAGAGTGAGGGAGTATGGTAGACCTGTGCGGCGCAGGACAGGATTATATTACACTTCAGTAATATAATCCTGTCCTGCGCCGATGGCTATTCTCCGTTGAGAATGGTCACCGTTACCAAAATTCAATCTGGAGCCCTTTATTATAGTTTTAAAAATAAAACACATAAGTAGTTGTTTGAATCTTTTAATGATCAAAAGTGAGAATGAGAACTTAGAATCGTATAAAATCTGGCTGCTGACTTTTTATTTTTGTCTGAACAGCAAATAAATACTAATTATAAATAACTTATGGTATTTGATAATTTATTGTAGATTAATTAAAAATTGTTACTTCGTAACTTTAAGTTCAAAAGTGTAGGTTTTCAGAATAATCACGTAACTACTGACTAGTTATGCCTGTCACCTGGTACGCGCGGTGTCATAATCACGACACAGGTGACAGAGTTCGCATGATGCTACGCTTTTGTTTGTCAAAGCGGGACATTTTTACGTATTTTGGGGACAGCGGAACACACACCTTTAAATCGGGACCATCCCGCCTAAAGTGGGACGTATGGTCACGTTAATTATTGTGCGCCAGCACAGAGTACTTTATGGTCCGCTAGCGCACGCGGTTAGAACAGTCTGGGAGCGCTTTTTTTCCGACTTGCTTAACAAAAATCTAAATGTTAGATCATCATCATCATCATTACAGCCCTTCACAAGTCCACTGCTGAACATAGGCCTCCCCAAGGTATGCCACAAAGCACGGTCCTGAGCCACCCGCATCAATCGATTACCTGCATTTCTTACCAGTATTTTTTCTTACTAGCATTCCTACATTTGGCCTACCGATAGGAGGCTGCCAGTTTAGAACCTTTTTTTCCTCATCGGTTGCAGGTTCTTCGAGCTGTATGGCCGAAAAAATATAGGAATTCAGGAGATACGTAGTGTATAACGGTTATTTATAAAAGAAAGAAAAAAAGTCATTGTAACCGTTCGAGAAAATGTTTAATAGCCTATATTATTTTCCTCGTGAATCTGGCTATCATACACAAAAAGAATTTATCAAATCGGACTGATAGTTGCTGAGATTACCGTGTTAAAACAAACAAAAAACCTCTTCCGCTTTGTTACACTTAATCACCATTTTTACCGTCTGGAAAAAAGGTGTAACATGTGAACGGAGTAGAAGCCTGTTGCACTGATATTTTATAAAATATACAAAGAAATTTTTTTAATTAAACGTTTGAATTTTTTTTTCAGAACAATTACTTTGCCCTTTGGCCTTGAGCCTGTGACCCTGCGAAGTGGAAAGGTCAAAGATACCCACTAAATTTATTGTTTTCTTGCCGTTCGTAAAGTAAGGGATACGATTTGAATTTCGATACATTTTAATTAATTAATTTACTTAATTCAAAATTTTGTTTTTGTTTTTTTGTAAAATATCAGTGCCAGGCTTCTACTCCGTTCACATGTAACTAAATTTTTTCCAGACGTTAAAAAAGTCATGCAGTAAGTATATAAGTTTAGATTTTTTTTTTCATTGAGTTTCAACTTCAAATCACTACGATGCTGAAGAAGTTTTCACTACGAAAATTGGAAAAGAAAATGGATTAGTGATAAAAACATTAATGTCTTTTTTTAGCCACTTGGCTACCCATAATGTTAATGTAATATTGATTTAATTAGGTAATGCAGCGATTGTGTTAGTGGTGGGAGCGTGGTTGCCTTCGTTTTCCTTCGACCCTTCGTAAGCCTTCGATTACTTCCGTCGGCGTATTCCGTAAACTTACGGAGAAAGTTTCATTGTATTGTCTAAATGTTTATTAATTAACTTATTTATTAACTTATTAAATGTATATACATACATACCATAATATGAAAGTAAAAGAAAGAACACAATGTAGCTACAAAGGCATAATTCATATCGAAAATTCTTCCAACAGGCCTATTGAAGGATAGTTAAAATAAATTAATAGAAGTAGACTTAGTGTGCAACATAATTTAAATAACATATTATATTTAATTATTTACAAATATAGACAATACATTTAAATATATACATAATTAAACAAAAGTGAAAATACACAAATGGATGTACATGTATACATATTACTATTTAATTATTAATTATTATAAATTCACATAGATAGATAGATAGATAAAACGTTTATTTGTATCTACAATCACACACGTAAATTCAGTGATTAAACTAGATATACAATCAAAGTATTATGGAAAAAAATATACATAAACTTATGATCTAAATATACATGTGTGTTGCAGTTAAACAAAGTTAGGATTAGGTAATGCTCTTTAAACCCTTTGAGCATAGACACCATTTATTACCACCAGTATAAAAAATTTAGCCAAAATATTTAGCCACACTATCTATACAAATTCATAAAATTGAAGGATCTGTTTGTATGCATAATTATCAAAGTATATAATTTAAAAAAAAAACAATTTTTAAGCATTTTGTATGTCTGTCTGTCTTTAAACAGCTCGACCGATTTTGACGGGACATTCTCTGGCACGTAGATTATGTTATATATAAATAGTAACTTAGGCTTACTTTTATTTTAGAAAAATAATTTGGGTTGCGGGCCAAAAAGCTCATGAAATTGTATATATATATATAATAGATATATATATATATAAGTATAAGTATAATATAAAAGTTATTCTATATGCAAATGAAGTCACGGACACAGCTAGTTTGAAATAAGATATAGTTACCCTTTATATTAATTTGATTTTGAAACTCGACCAGAGTCAAGTCAAGGATGTATTCATTAGACGTCGAACGTTCCA